TGAAAATCTGTATGCTTTCATTGACTGAGAAAAAAATTTGTGTTTTTAAGACTATGATTCTTAGAAGTCTTTTTGTCAGTAAGCATATTTCCAGAAGCTAAGATAACTTGAGAATTTCAATACCTATGTTCCATCTGCTATAACTAAATTTAACCATTTTTTTCTAGCTTCTAAATAAACATTAAATGCACTTGTCATCTTAATATTTCTCCTTTTGCATAAAGATTGCTTGTTAACGCTTCAACCTTCTGTTTTTGAAATCTTAATTTTTCTTTTGCTGATTGTCTATTTAAATGTATTTTTAAACTCTGCTTTAAACTTCTGCTTCCTCTTTCTGTCACTTTTTTTTAAATTAAACCTTAGCTGACTGACTTCTACAGCAATATAAAGGTATATATATACATATTTTTTTCTGTATAGAATTTAATACATGAAAATAAGTTGTTTCTCTCCCCTAAGGACAACAGAATAATATTTGCTCCTTTGGGTTGCTTTTTGTGTATATCTTGTATTTTTAATTGTTATATTCCCTTTAAAAAGAAAAGCAAATATAATATGTAAACAGACAAACAGATCATTCAAATCAGTGAATGTCTGTAGCTTCGTTAATTAAGTTACATTCTTGAATGATAGTTGAATAAGAAACAGAATGTTTGCTTTTGGGAAATTATTATTGTGCTAAGCATGTAATTAGCTGTGCTGTTTTGAAATTGTAATTTCTTAATTTCTCACAGGACTCAAAAGCTTATTACCACCTGCTTGAGCAGGTGGCTCCGAAAGGAGATGAAGAAGGTGTTCCTGCGGTTGTTATTGACATGTCAGGACTGAGGGTAAGGCCACGTCCCTAGCTGTGTTTAGAGAGCTTGGTGCTGCCTTCGTGCTGGCAGTTCATTTGCTCCACGTGACGCTGGCTCTGGCGTTCCACGAGTGGGCATTTCTGCCCAAAGCCTTGTTAAAACTGTTAACAGTTATGGATAATATTATGGATAATAATTGATGGAAACTGAATCTGGAAATAAAACATTAAAGAAAGGAATTAATACTAATTAAATGCCATGCAGCATGCTAGCACTTCAATGTGTCCATCATTGAACATTTAATAACCTGTATGACACCAACATGGGGGTGAATGTTAAAACTTCAGTTCTCCTGCCGCTTTAATATTGATCTTGAGAAGTCACCTTACCCGTGTTTGTGCCTCATTTAATATCACTGGAGTTAAATCCAATGAGTTAATGTTGAAGTCAACTCATTCCTAATGAGAAGTAAAGTAAACGTAAATGAGAAGTAAAGCTCATGAAATGTATAATGCGTAGTGTTATCTAGGAAAGCATCAGTCATATTAAGAAATAATTCTAGTTTAAAGTTCTGTTTTCTGAAAATTGGTGGTTTCATAGATTTTGAGGACAGTGGACCATATTTCAACAAAATTTTAGTCTTGTTATAAGAGTCTGCTTGTATATGACTGGAGATTCTCTAGAATTATTTGAGCATGTGAAATGAGTGGTTCTCAATCTGAAGTCTGCAAAATTCAGATTGATATTAT